TACTTAATGATATGTCACAAGGAAACTATAAAAAAAATTCTAAGCATTTTTGTAAATATGTTTGTGGAAGAGGTTTATAAGATAAGAAATGAGTGAGAAATGCTGATACAGTACATATTTTATTGCAGTGATATTTTAAGGAAGAATTTCATTTGCAAGTATGAAATATATCAGGGGGTAAGTGAAAACTCTAAGCTGACAACAGTAGCCAAGGTTACCCTTTTTTTCTTTCCTAAGAAAAAAGGTTCGTGCAAATATTTAGAAGGCTTGAAATTATCATTTTAAGAAAAAAAACAAATATCATACAGTGAGTTTTGGGTCTACAGAGGAATCAAGATTAATTTACAGCCAGCCATTAAAATGCTACTCACCTGCATGTTATTCAAGAACAGAAAAATATGTCAATATACAAGAATAATGAAATGTTTTTATTTTCCGTTGTCTTGAAAACAATTACTAAAATGTAATTTAGGATTTTATTTCTCTAGCCTGGCTTCTCACTTGCATCATGAAGGTCATGGCACAGACATTAACTGTTCCAAATATCATTATCCATTGTTTATGTGCTTTCTAGGTTGGGTATATACCCTATATACTCTTTATGTTTTTCTCACTATCCCAACTGAATACTATTATATTCCCTGTCTCCCGACCCCTAAGTACATAGCCTAAGTCCAAAAGGAGAAAGCTGGATCACCTACTTCTTCCCGATCTATACCTTTTGTTGTTTCAGAAACAGTAAAAGATGACCTGCCTTCTCCATTACACTCATTGGTTTCAGCGCACACAGCAGCAAACAAAACCAATTTATGTGATGCCCGTGTCTTTATACTTCCACACTCTGGAACAAGCACACTTGCAAACAATCAGCTCGGGGAGTGTTAAAAGGCCCTCAAAAAATTAGGAATAATATCTCTAGTATAAAAGAATTCAAAAACATCCAGTTCCAAATAGTCCCTGAGCACACTGTTCATTCCAGCAAGAAGTCTCCAGAGAGGTAATGAATGAAAGGCACATTTTCTCCAACTTGAGCACCGCTGCATAGTACTAGAGACGGTACACTGGCCAGGCTAATCAAAAGTTCTAATTGATGACATTCCCCCCTTCCCAAATTGAAATCTTATATGCTGGAAAAATAATCTAATGGATGTAAACACAACACTTTCCACTAGAGGAGTGGCAGCTGGGGTACAACAACCCTTCCATGGAAGGTTCAGGAGTAAAAGATAGCTTCAAGCCTCCTCTTCTTCCTTTTCCAAGAAATCAGTCAATGTTTCACTGTCAACAGGAATTAATAAATACTCCACTCCATCAGTTCCCTAAAAGATGAAAGAATACTCTGTATGTTAGTCATTCAGAAGAGGTATTTGAACACTTCTATTTCAGGTTAAAGAAAAAATGGATTTGATTTCCTTGATGCAATGTTTTAAGTAAATATATAAGTATAAAAATTAAGGCAAAAGGGCACACAGCTATATATATTTAAATACACTGAGTTACAGTTAAACCACTTTATAGTGGAAAAGACGACTGACTGGAGGGTGGGTAGGAGAATACTATTTTCTTCTCTGTGCTTTAGATCCTTCTTTATTCACCTGCTCTGTCCAGACTCTGATTTCCCTTTCAGCAAGATCCTTCCCTATTGGTTTTTGTTTTTTTTTTTTTTTGAGACAGGGTCTCACTCTGTTGCCCTGCCCTGGCTAGAGTGCAGTGGCATCATAGCTCTCTGCAACCTCAAACTCTTGGGCTCAGGTGATCCTCCTGCCTGAGCCTCCTGGGTAGCTGGGACTACAGGCCTGTGCCACCACACCCAGCTAATTTTCTATGTTTTTTTTTTTTTTT